GGGGGGGGGGGGAGAGTGACGAAGCATTACGGGGCTGAAGATAGAGAGTCATTTGTAACAGTGGCATCCGGTGGGCCTGACTCTGAACAAGACTTGACCCTGACCTCATGGAAAGGCGGGCTGCTGTGGTGTTGTAGGCCTATGTTGAAGCACCAATGACAGTCTGTGTTTGGGTTGAAAGAAGGCGGTTCTTTTTCTGCAAGACAGCTGGCTTTCTTGTCATTATCAGAACACACACCCAAACAAACCCGCGCTCGCAGGCAAACACAAAGCCTACACGGTGCACACAGCGCCCTCGCTCTGCCCCATGGGGACAAGGGCTGCTCTGTCTTGCAGTCGTCACAAGTGATTAAGGGATTAGCAAAGGAAAAAGAGGGGGGGAAATATTGCTGTGGAGAGTGTAAACAGGCCCCGGGGCAAAACAAACACATCACAGGAGAAGTGTTTACTCCCTTTGACTGATTACCTGCTACGTCCTCACCGTGGCGGAGCGTAATGAATAAACTGCTCGCTCTTTTGGTGTAAACAGGCAACAGTCCCACATAAAAACATCCTGTTTTAGTTTCAGCTAAGTTTAAAGGGTCAGCTGAGGGCGAACGGATGACGAATCATTGGGCATGCGTCTCGGCATTTTTTTCAAAAAAATAAAGTCTAAATATTTGTCATTTTTGATGAATGTATTTTTCTTCTTTCATTTCCTATTTGGTTTCTTCTGTTTTGGGAAGTGACAATCATTTGCGGAGCTTATAATTTAAAGCGCATGGGGTTTCTCATAACCACATTTTGTTCTGCTCATCAACAAAGCAAACGCTTGCATATTTTACTTGACAAGTGTCCAAACTGTTCTTTGTTGAGGCGTTCAGCATGCCATTATTCAGCTATGCTCTTTAAATGAGTACTCACAGCTGGTTAGCCTAGCTCAGCACAAATGCCGCAGACAGCTAGCTGGGCTTTTTCCAAATGTAACAAGATCCGCAGACCAGTACCTCTAAAGCTCACTTATCAACGTGTTATATCGTGTTTCGTTTAGTTTAATCTGCACAAAACCCTACATATGTGAAACAACAAGACCCAAGGAATAAGTAAATATAGCAACTTTTTGCTAGCCGTGTCCCTGTTTACAGTCTGTAGCCTATGCCAAGCTAAGCTAGCTGGCTGCTGTTTGTCGTCTTATATTCAGTGGCTACATATGAGAGTAGAACCTCATTTAAAGCTGTGTTCAGACATAAAAGGAAGCATATTTTTTTGCCTGTCCAGGTTGATTTTACCCAAACAGCCAATGTCCCAAATGTACGTTCCCTGTAGCAACTAGCATCTCTGTCAGAACTCACCAGAAACTAGTTTCTATTATTTTCCTTTTCAAAACTGTTCCTTTTAGCATCATTGTGCATGGGTTACTATGCATAACTGTGGTTTAACATGCACTTTTAAATGTTTTTTAAATCCAGTTCAAGAGACAAAAGGTAAAACTGACCAACAGGAAAATATTTTCCAACAAAGTCTATTTACATTTTATTGAGAGATTTCCGTTCCCCTTTAAGCCACACAAAGCGAGTAATGGTAATTTCCCCGTGCTATTTACTCCGGAACCACTGCTTCTTCACCCCAGCAGATAAACATCACACAGGAAACAGACAATCACAGCTGGAGGGACCGGGCCCGGGCCTTGCCCTCACAGAAAAAGCTCACTCATGGTATTAATATCAACACCGAAGCCCCGGCAACCCAAAAAATCAGGAGATATCACGCACCAAATCAAATCCACCCTGGTTTATGAAACATCCGCAAGGGTGTCACCTCCTCATTCTGCTCAGGAAGATCAGAAATATAAAAATGAGGTTTGATGAGGGCTTGGATTTGACGCTGAATTGAGATGGATAAGTTAATGAGTGTTTGTTATTTTACAGTTACTGTTAAAGCACACTAATGATATAAAATGACTTAAATACTGGTGAAAGGGGTCAGCGGATTGTATTGTTCCAGAAAAGAAAACACAGATTGTGAAAATAAAACCAAAAGAGACTGAATAAAACAACATATCATAACCATAAAATTCAGCAGCTCATTATGCCCTTTATCTACCGCCCATTACTGGGTACAGTAAATTTGACGAGTTGACGAGTGCTGCTTCAATAAAAGGGATGGATGCTCAACCTGACTTTTGGGGGTTTTCTACTGATGCTATAGCCTACTGTAAAATAAACACAATCTATACAACTCAAAGCATTTTCCTACTCCAGAAAAGCCTTTAAACCCAATGACAGTAAAGGACAGTACAAATACAGAGTGGTTTATTCTACATGACAGATAAAACTGTTCCACTTCAGTTTCCTTCTGTCACACCCATTAAACATAGCAGTTTGTGCCACCATGATGTAAATAGCCTACTATATACTAAAAATATATTTTACAGTATAAAATTATTATAGGAACATCAGTAGCCCTGAAATCACAGCTCAATGAGGGTTATTAAATTTAAGTAGAATACAAATAAAGCAGTTTTAATCATGTAACATCATATTAAGACGGGAAGTAAAGCATTTGCATCTGTTTTAAAATATTATATGTCAAAATGGAGGACTACTACAACTACAGTGTTTCTTGTTTTCTCAGACTGTTTTCTATAACTTGGCAGATGTTTTAGATTGATCTAATCTGATTTTAATCTGGATAACATTGCAAAAGAATGGGCAAGATTAATGGAAATTTTGAATCAGAGGGACAAGACTTGTTGTTATTGGAAATATGCGATGAACGTGTTTCCGTTGCAAGTGTTTCTTGAGGGCGACATTGTTTGAGACTCAGAGTCAAACATTTATACGGCACGACGGGCCTGTTTACACATCCGCAGATACATCTCTGACAGGTGTGAAATGCATTTTTGACCATGTGGCTCTTCAGAGAATACATCTGCAATGACTCGAGGTGATAACAGTGATTTTAATCTAAAACAAGCAGTGTGTGCCCAGCTCGACGTCCAGCCAAATCCCCTCGTTCTCACAAACATGGGCATCTGGCAGAGAAATGTAGTCTGTTCCTCACTGGAGGGGCATGATGATGGCAGCCAGGGCTACTTCCTGGCACCCTTCTCTCTGATGGCGGTCTGCCTAGGCCCCCCTAAAAAAAAAACCCTAGTGCTTGGGACAGTTAAAACAGGACAACATGATGATTACGCTCAGATGGAAGACATTAGGATTTGGGTGTATGAGTGGATGTAGAAGTAAAGGAGGTTTAGCGGAGCGAGTGTGACGCTTTAACGGACCTTTAAATGGCTTTTTTCACCACCGCCTTGCTTCCTGACATTTAACAAATGATCACTTCAAATAGCCCATGTCTTTCTCTCACTCCTTTTCCTCATTTTCAAGTTGTGTTGACGCTCGATAAAGGCCGCCACTTCCCTTCCAAATCTCGCCCCTTTGATTCTCCAGGGTTCATTAATTAAGTCAGTCCCCCTCCCCATTCACAAGAAAGTCCAAAGCATAACATTCACCAGCTGAGAACTAATTATGTAGACATTAGTCGACAAAGTGCAAACGTAGGTCCCTTCCTGTGTCGTGAAGTTGGAGGAACCTTGAGAGGATTTTTTTTTAATCAAGGAGGGTAGCAGGAACTTGATTCATATCCAAACACCGTGAGAAAACTGTGATCTGAGCAAAGGTTTGACGCACTCCCCTCACTTCCCCACCACTTCCTCTCATTCCTACCTTGCAATGATAAGTCATCTGAGGTAGGGATTGCCTTGCATGATTCCCCACACAGGACTATTTCTGTCTCCCAGCCTTCATCGCATCCTGTAACCGTTTTTTCCTGTCTTGCGTTAAGTGCAAAGTCATGGAATTATAGTTAAGTATGTGTGTTTGTTTGTGTGC